ATTTATATAACGTTTATATATAATATTTAACAATATTTTACGTTTAATATTTGTTCAATTATTTGTAATTTAATATTCTTTCAATCTACAAAAAGAAAAGGAAGTTGATCTTGAAATTTCGAAAACTACACTATTTACGAAAAAGTGATTACGTCATCATTTCCTCCTCCCCTTAAAACTCATAAGTTTCATATGTAATACTTTTCAATTAGATGCGTAATTTAGAAATGAGGGGTTCCTGAGATAAATTACCAGAATGGGAAACAATTTTTTCAAATTTCTGGATTCCGGTATTGAAGCATTTTCGAGGTCGTTCATAGAGGTCAAGCATAATGATTCCATAAAGTAATGCAATTTAACTAGATTCACAAAAAGGCTTTTAATGGTTTTCGAGCTTTGCGTTATATTTGAGCCGTTTATTTTGAAAGTGGCATAAGTCACTTTACCGTAATGAAAAGTGGTGATTTTTTAATGTTTATACGAAATTATTTGTACCGAGGAAAATATCAGTATCCTGAGATAACAAATACAAGTAAATCTTCTCGAAAGTTAGCATCCATATTTTTAAACCTGTTAAAACGCAAACCCTTAAATAATATATCGACTTCAAAACAAAGTGACTTATGCCACTTTCAAAATAAACGGCTCATTTGTTAGTAACAACCACAACTGGACGAACCAGTGATAACATGTGCATCTGTTTCAGCTAACGGAAAGGTGATGGAAATGAAAAATTTTTGCGCGAACATTACCACGGACATGGTTGGTAGCACCGCTTTCGGCTTACGAGTGAATTCATTGAACGATCCCAAAGCATCGTTCCGGGAGTTTGGACGAAAGATCTTCGACTACGACTTTTTCCGTGGCATGGAGTTCCTCATCATATTCTTCATGCCTTATTTAACCAAATACACCGGCGCCAAATTCTTCGGCAAGGAGAGCAGCAAATTTTTGCGAACCGTTTTCTGGGACGTCATCAATCAACGAATTCAGTCGGGCGAGAAACGAAACGACCTCATCGACCTTCTGATCGAACTGAAGCAGCAACACGAGGACGATAGCGATCTTGTTGGATTTAGTAAGTTGTTTCGTCAACGTTTTACTAATTTTTGGTTTCTGCAAATTTTCGTTATCTTGCGATATGAACGGAATAAAGATTCCATCGATCGTTGGTGAGAAACGGGGTTGAAATAGAAATACGGAGTGTCCCAAACTTATAGTATTTTCGGAAAATGGAGGATTCCCGAGGTCATTTGATGTAACTTTTTCCTTAGCGAAAATGCGATCCGTGGTTTCGTTCACGAGTTATTAGCGAAAAACATTGGCCAATAAGAGGCGAGCACGATTGGCGTGAAGCGGCCGAGCCAATGGGCGGACGAAGCCCATTACCATTCACTGACTCGGCCGCCTCGCGCCAGCTATCCTCACTTCTCATTGGTCACTGATTTTCGTTAATAACTCGTAAACGAAGCCACGGATCGCATTTTCGCTAAGGAAAAAGTTACTTCAAATAATCTCAGGAACCCCTCATTTCCCGGAAGTACCACAATTTTAGGATACCCTGTATATATTTCATCTAATCATTTTAACAAGTTCCGATCAATACGTCGATATTCTGGAATTCTTTTAAAAAGACTGTTACATTATTGAGCACATATATATATATATAATAAATAATATATAAAATAATATATATAATATATATAATAATAATATAATAATATATATAATAATATATAAAATAATATATAATTGAGCACAAATATATAGTATATAATTTCGATTGATTCGCATTACAGAATTCAGCGGCGACGATTTAGTGGCGCAGGCGGCTGTTTTCTTCAGCGGCGGTTTTGAAACATCATCCACCACCATGTCTTTCACCCTCTACGAACTGGCATTGCATACAGAGGTCCAGAAAACGTTGAGGAAAGAGATTCTCGAGGCACTCGATAAGAGCGGTGGAAAAATTACGTATCAGATGGTATGTAAAATAAAATTTACGCAACTATGTGCTAATTAATAGAATGATAATAACTAAATAGCAAGAATAATTAATATGCGGACGTTTAGGCAAGTGCATATGTTTTTAAAAAATATGTAAACCAATTGGACCTGGAAATGAATGTCATGACGAAGTGATCTCACAGATATATTTTTTTATTTTGTATGTTTTGTGCATACTGCAAGTGTTTTGCACATCATTTATGAGAACATATCTCAAAGCGGATTTCATTACATAAAATTAATACTTATAGGTTTTCGAACGTTATCTAGTTATTGATGATAGATGCAGTTATGCGTATATGATAAAAGCTAGAAAACATTTGAAGGAGGAGTGCGTCAATATTTTCCATCGAGTTAAATGCTATCGAAGAATTTTAGAAAATCTTTCATTACCACCTCAGTCATTAATTACGTTTCTTACTGAAAATGTAAGCTTAATAATAATATTGTTCTTTCATTTCTTACTTTTTCTTCTGTACTAACTTTTATCAAACTTAATTTGTGACTTCATATATAGTTATAGTTAGTAATACTATAGGTAGTAAAACTATACTACTACTTAATAATAATTTACTAAAACATGAAAAAAAAGAGCTGAAGTACGCAGTGATTTCTATGTTTTTGTAACTCCAAATATAATGATAAGAAAGTGTATTATTTATGCGATATTATATAAATTTGGTTACTTCTCATTATTATTAAGAGGTTAATATTAATAAGTAAATTTATAAGATTAATATTAGTAATAAATAATAATAAATTATATACATATTTTTATTTATATTATATATATTATATTACATTATTATATATATAAATGAAATATATATAATAATATAATATAATATGATAACAATAATAATAATAATAATATATAAATTATATATATATAATAAATTATATGTAATAATAATAAATTATTTAGGTTAATATTAGTAAGTAATACATGCGTTCTTTACAGATCATGACGCTACCATATCTGGATATGGTTGTCTCCGAAACTCTGCGCAAGTATCCACCGCTGGGATTCTTGGATCGAGTCGCAGGCGCCGATTACAAGGTCCCGAATTCTGACTTAGTGCTGGAAAAAGGCACGCCGGTCTACATTTCTATGATAGGGATGCATTACGATTCGGAATACTTCCCTGATCCAGAAAAATACGATCCCCTGAGATTCACAGACGAGAACAAACAGAAGAGGCCAGGTTTCACTTATTTCCCTTTCGGCGAGGGACCGCACATCTGTATCGGTTAGTATGCAACTTATTATACTGCTACTTATAATACTACGATGCCGTTGAGACTTGTCAATTGCCATTTGCCCAGCAACGAAATAAACGGAATTCAATATTGATTGAATCCGTTGTATCTTCTACCAACATTTCGTTCTAATGACAATCGATAATCAATAATCATGTGTATCGGTTAGTAACTTATTCCTAGACTGCCGATTTTACGCATTTACGACAGAACGATTCGAAATCGAAACAGTAAATGCAGAGGATAAATCTAACAACGCTGGTCGATTATTTACAACTTATTAAATATCTTAAGAATGAAAGTAAAGGTTCATTTAACTCCTGCTTGTTGTAACCGTGATAGAACATTTTTATTTTGCGTGAAGATCCACGGTCTACGAGTTGCGCTATTGGCATTATCGTGCTGCTGAAAGTTGTCGATTGGCGTTCAGTCATCAACGAAACTAACGAACTCGATATCGATCGTGTTTCTAATATTTTCTACCAGTGCTCCGGTGCAGTATTAAATAACTACTATAT